CTCCCAGAGGAAGCAGAGCGCCTTCGCCCCCCCCACCATGAAAGGTACGCGCAAAGAATCAAGATTTATTTATGAGAAACACAAATGGAGGATCAGCCTGCTCAAGGTGGAGAAAACGATGCGTTCAAAGGCCGTCGGTAATCCCGGTGTCCTATCAGAGAAGTGTTTTTATACCATTATGCTTTTGGAAATGTTTAAGTTTTCAAATCCCAAAGCGATCAGATATAAATTTGAATATCTGAAATGTTTCAGGAGGAAAGTTTCTCTAAAATCTGCTCCTTCTTTTCTTTCTTTCTGTTCTTTTTTTAATGTCCTAAGCCTCCGTTTGTCTCATTTCACTCGTATTTTCGTCTTTTCTTTCAGTTTTTCCTTCTGGGTTGGGATATTTTGGTTGGTCTTTTGCCTCTGGTCTTGTTTTTCCTCCGTACATCCAGCTGCCAGATGCTTGGGGGGGGGGGTGTTTTTCTTCATTCTTAAACTTTTTGCTCAGTTTGTGTGAAAGAAATCCCGTAAAATCAGTAAAATCAGTCATTTGTGTCACTAAGACTGTAAAAATAAACATAATAACGCAAAGAAATTAGTAAAAACATCAGTCAAACTGGTCGTTTTTCTAATTTGGTTTAATCAAATAAAGGAATTGTAGAGACTTAATGCACAACCTAAAAGAAAGGACACTTTTCCTTTATGGAATAACTTTACCTGAACTTTGTTTCAGGTTATTTCTCTACTATCCATTCACAGTCATTCAATATTTCCATTTTAGGTGGAAGTGTTTTCATTCATTTTTTACTTTTGTTCAACTCAATTTCATCTATAACAAACCAAATCACAGTAAATATTAAATATATAGTCCAACTAATACAGTAAAACTAAATAAACTGAGTGGAGCCGTGGTGTAAACTCACAGAAATGCAAATAAAATAGAAGAAACACGATTATCCCATAAATATTATGAGTGTTTTTTTCCTGTTTTATGGAGATAAAGGACAGAAACTGAACTATTCTTCTTATAAATGTGCTCATTTTAAGTTAAAATTGAGGCTAACCGGAGCAACCGGATCACAGTTTTATCATTCGTGGTGATAAATTGAACAGAAATCCTCAACAAAACAAATCAAAGTCCACTCCTGTGATGGTTTTTCTCACTTTTCAAGATTCATCACTTTCCTTTATTACCAGAAATTAAAAATTAATCAGAGTTTGGGAGCTTCTCTATAAAGTAGGAACCATGAAAAAGCTCCTGATAAGATAAAATAATCCAAATAAAAGCAGAAAGCTTGAGGATGGAGGGATGCTGTTGTGAGTAACTGAGCAGCTTCTGGGAATCAAACCCCTGAAAGCTTTGCTTTATTGATCCGGCAGAGAGCCTCCGGCAGAAAAACACTTATGAAACAGCCTCAATGCACCAAACACAAGTCAGACATGTTTTATATTCCATCCCATAAAGTAAGCTCCCTTCAGCTGGTTTCCAATCAGTAAGCAGGTTTAATCAGATATATGTACATACATACATAAAAAAAAAGTCAACATTTTTTATTTTCAGACTGGTTACACAATTACAATATATAAATATCTTCTAAATATCATTCTAATTTTTTCAAATAATATATATATATATATATATATTTTTTTTGTGTATATATATATATACACACACACAAAAAGTGATAAGTGATTATAAATATAATCAGTTGGTTTAATCACCTCTGTGGCGAATATTTTAAAAATGTGCTAATTAGGCCAAAACAAAACAGAAATAACAACTTTAAAAAATGTATTACAGAACTTTAAACCAAGACATTTTCACTAAACATGCTATAAATTTAGTAAAACTGGGATAAATATGAAATATGACTTAATCGCCTAAAATAAATCCAAAGCTGGATTTTATTTATTTAATTTTATTTAATTTCTTCATTTAATTTTTTTTATTTGATTTAATTTTTTATTTTTTAAGTTAATTATTCTAATTTTTCTTATATTTAAAACTTATTTTTCCTTATATTTAATTGGCATTATGAACTACAGAAATATATATATATATATATATAAAAATAGAGCGTAGGCTGCAGTTCTGGCCTCTCTCCACTGGGGGTGCTCTTCTCTCCTCAGACCTCCAGGGGGCGGGGCTTCCGGAGACAGACAGCGAGCTCAGCCCAATCACAGCGCAGCTCTATGCCGCCTCCCAGTGGGCCAATCACAATGGGCCAGAGGAGGCCAATGGGAATGAGGCGTGTCTGCTGTTAGCCAATCAGGAGAGAGGAGGGCCAGAGGGTAAATTTATTAGTCATTAAAATATTATTTATTTTACTTTTTGGGGGAAAGAAACAATAATAGTCCGTTAGATTTACATGAACTCAAGAAAAAAAATATATTTATGTGATTAAATATAATTTTTATTGGAAAAAAGGGAAAAATGAGCTATGATCCATTATTTTGAAGATCTTTATATATTGTACAATATTTATATATTGTATTTGCATATCCAGTCTGAAAATATTACTACTATTAATAATAATGATTAAATAAAATTTAAATTAAATTTAAGGCCACGACTTTCCTCACAACACCATCTAAAACTAACTCTCTCTCTCCTCCTGCATGATCTTCCTCTTCATCCTCTCTCCTCCTCCTCTTTCCTCATCTTCCTCTCCTCCTCTTCCTCCTCCCTCCTCTTTTATCCTCCTCTTCCTCTTCCTCATCTCCTCCTCTTCCTCTTCTTCCTCCTCTTTCTCTCTCCTCCTCTTCCTCCTCTCTCCTCCTCTTTTTCCTCTCCTCCTCTTCCTCCTCTTCCTCCTTTCTCATCTTCCTCATCTTCCTCTTCTTCCTCCTCTTCCTTTCTCCTCATCTTCCTCATCACCTCCTCTTCCTCTTCTTCCTCCTCTTCCTCTCTCCTCATCTTCCTCATCTCCTCCTCTTCCTCTTCTTCCTCCTCTTCCTCTCTCCTCCTCTCTCCTCTTCCTCCTCTCTCCTCCTCATCTTCCTCTCTCCTCATCTTCCTCTTTTTCCTCCTCTCTCTTCCTCTCCCTCCTCTCTCCTCATCTTTTTCCTCTTCCTCTTCCTCTTTCCTCCTCTTCCTCATCTCCTCTTCTTCCTCTCTCCTCCTCTTCCTCCTCTTCCTCTCTCCCCTCCTCTCTCCTACTTTTTCTTCTTCTTCCTCCTCTTCCTCTCTCTCCTACTCTTCCTCTTCTCTCCTATTTTTCCTCCTCTTCCTCCTCTCTCCTAATCTTACTCCTCTCTCTTCTTCCTCTCTCTTAATCTTCCTCCTCCTCATCTTCCTCTCTCCTCATCTTCCTCTTCTTCCTCCTCTTCCTCCTCCTCCTCTTCCTCCTCTCTCCTCTTCCTCCTCTCCTCCTCTCTCCTCCTCTTCTTCCTCCTCCTCCTCTTCCTCCCTCCTCTTCCTCTTTAGACCCGTCCTGCAGCTACATTAAGGATGATTCCAGCCCCGACTCCGTCTCCCGATAGCCTCAAACTTTCTGCCTGTGTTGGATTTCCCCTTTTAGCAGCCTGTAGGAGCCAAGGATGGATATCCAACTCCGCCCACATCCAAGTCGGCCATTTTGATTAGGTCATGTGACTAGCAGCTTTCTGAGGTGGAAACGAAACTTTACTGTCTATAAGAAATCAGAAGATAAACGATGTCCTAAACCTAACCCTAAACCTGACCCTAACTCTAACCCTGACCCTAACCTAAACCTAACCCTAAACCTATCCCTGATCCTAACCCTAACCCTCCACCCTTCATAATTGTGAGAAATAAATATTTTTAATTCAGTGTTTGCAAGATTCATTTCACTATCTTTAAATTAATGTCTATATTGCCATCAATTGAATCAATTAGGATTTTCTTTACTGGGATCTTGCTATTGGTGACCTAATAAAAATGGCCGACCTGGATGTGGGGGGGTTGGATATCCATCCTTGGCTGCCGTTCGCTTGCTTTCACGTTCAAAATGGCGCAGAGGTTTAAACTGAATGAGTTTAAGAATCTGGAGCTGTGAATAAAAACGTCTTGTGTGCAAACGTTCGTCTTTTCATGCTTTCATGCTTTCATTTCACAAACAAAAAAAGGGGAAATGACATGTTTGAAGAGGCCAGTGGGTAATGGGTGAGGAGGCTCCGCCTTTTAAGCATCGTCTCGAACATGGCCGCCATTTTGAAAGCCGCCATTTTGGATCGGGGGGAATTTTTCAAATGGGAAGGTGGTTGTGTAGCATATCAAAGAAAAGCAAAATTGTCTCAGAAATTGATTGTCACAGTCAGAATTAGAATATCTCTTGTGGTTAAAAAGTTATCAACAGAAAAAGTTTACATAATGTCTATTATATCATTATAAATGTTTATTATTAATAGTGTTAAGCACTAAAAGCTTGGTGGATTCAGGGGTTTGTCTCAAATGTTCTTAACCATTTAAATCCCAATCCAAGAAAAAATAGGGAGAATTTTTGTAATTGTTTTAAGTCTTCATTGGACCCTTCACAAAATATTTGAGAAAAAAAAGAAATTATTTTTGAATATTCGTTATTTATTACCTTCTGCTAAGTCAAAAATGATGGTGCATAGTCTTCTGCCCGCTTTTATAGCTATATCTGATTGTGTACAACAAGGTTTTGAACAAAGTTTTTACCATGAAATGATGCAAAAGGTCTCAGATGCAAACATTTTCAGAATTCGTATGTGTCAAATATGATGCATATGGCATTATAGGGTTAATTAAATGAGTAACAATGTTAAAGGGTTAAATTAATCTCACTTCAAGTCATGGGATGGTGATGAATTGCCATCTATCATTTTCATCTAAATCACTCCTTTTTTTTAAATTAACTCATTGACTGGCAGCCATTTTCAGAACAGAGAGTCGCTCACTGCCAGAGTTTTTTGAGAATTTTGACTGATTTTTCAAGAGCCACAGAATAGTTTGTGCTATGACTATGTAAACACCGAACACACCAAAAGAAAGAGTAGACTCTCTTCTTTCATCAGGAAAAAAGATTTTGTTTCTACCTTATTCCGTTCTTCTTCGACGTGCGTCTCACCGGCGCCATTTCTCTCATAGCGAACCATTGCGTTTGTTTTTATTTGCTTACAATCTATGCTAATCTCCCATCAAAAGTGGCACAGCTACCTAGAGGGTTAATTTGTTAGTCCATACTCTGTCTAGAAGCCGATATTTACGGGAAAACTTTCGCCGATCGTTCCCCAAGCCACTCGCATTGAAAAACATAAAAGACGTCTATAGACGTCTTTGGCAGCGAATGAGTTAAGGTTCAAGTTATTTTCTCCTACAGCTTTAAGTCTCTTCAGACTAACAGAATTGCCTCAGAAACTGATTGTCACAGTCAGAATCTGAATATCTCTTGTTTTTCAAAAGTTATCAAGTGAAAAAGTTTAAATTATGTCTATTATATCATTATAAATGTGTATTATTAATAGTGTTTAGAACTAATAGCTTGGTGGATTCAGGGGTTTGTCTCAAATGTTGCCTATGTGGTTTCTCACTATCACAAAATAACCGATGATTTTCTAAAAAAAAAAATCCATCTATCTCTATCTATCTATCTATCTATCTATCTATCTATCTATCTATCTATCTGTCTAGACATGTATATATGTATAGGCCGTTGTTTTATTTATGGAGCTAGTAACAAAAATAATTTACCCCTGGGATTATTCAAATATTTTTTATTATGATTATGATTAGGAAGAGCTTTAAGGGCTTAAAACAGACTGTGGAGGACTTTGAGTGTTTGGTTGTGATTGTAGCTGCATTTAAAAGCTGAAAAGTGTGGGATCATTTTAAACCTGGACGTGGATGACCAGTGTTTTCTCCAAGCTGCATTATTGGGTTTGTGCGTCTATTTCTTTAAAATGTCTGAAAGAGATGTCTGTTCCTTAAAGAGGTTTATAATAAGATTTACGTTTCATTAAATACAACAAATTTAAAATTTCAAAGGCAAAATTAATCCAATGCTTTGCTTTTCAGTGTAGGAAAAGGGGACATTTAATATTCTAGTATCAGCTAAGGTTGATAAATCTATGCTAATCAAAATGAGACTGCTATTTGCTCAACAAATATTAATAATAATGTCATTTTCATTCGTTTGCCTCAAGGTGAGTTATTTGTGTGGCATTTCCGTCATAATAGCATAATACAGAGTTATACAGTTTAAATGTGTGCACATGCTGTTTCTGCCTAATTTTTTGTTATTAAATGTGACAATCTTGTCTCGTTTAATTGCATTTAATTGTGTTGATAATCTCAGTTGCTCCCTATTATACATTTGAGTAATTCTGTTCTCCATGATGACGTCATTTCTATATTTACACAGTTGTAAAGTCATTTTCTGTTAGTCTAACTTAGTTTTCTTGGTCATTTGGGTGTTTCTGGATGAGCTCAGGTGGTTTGGGTTCCCACAGGTGTTTATCCCCACTTTCAGGTTTGAAAAATCAGTCACGTTTTTTATATTTTTTTATTAGGTAAACTGGAAAACGCTGTTCCTGAGGAAGAGGAGGAGGAAAACAACAGCCAGGAAAACTGATCCAGCTGAAGAGAATAGGCACCAAACAGCAGGAAAACCACAAAAAATGGAGGCCAATGTCCATAAACTGTGTGTGGGGACATTAATGAGAGAGAGAATCGACTTCTATAAGTTAAACTTTTAATCTGAGCGGGTAAAAAACGTGTTAAACCACAAACCGTTTAAGCACCGTTACAACCAAAGGTTGAGTTTCCATGGTTTACTGCATTTATTTCTACATTATAGTCTCTTGAATAATTACCTACATTTATATTCTCTTTCGTTTGATATTTTTAGAAGAATTATGAGTCTCCTTAAAAATAAAAAAGAACAGGTGCCAACATTTTTACCACTTTTTTAAGGGGTAAACCTTTCTTAACTTGTCTGAAAGCTGTGAAAAAGCAATAATTTGGCATGTTATTTAAAAAAAAAATTACATTCAGGAAATATTTTTAAAAAAAGAAAGAAGAAGAACCTGTTATTTCTTTACTTATTGGGCTTGCTGGGTCATTGCTAGCGAGCTAGCTCATTGCTAGCTAGCTAATGAACTGGAATTATAGTCATTTTTATTAAATAAAAACACATAAATGTCTTTTTTCGCCCTACAAGTGATATTTTTAGCTAATAGACAAATTAACTAATGAAACAAAACAATTACGTATTTTGTGTAATTTGTGCTTTTTAAAAATGTATATTTAGTTGTCACAAATGAATAGCTTGTATAAATTTGGCTGGAAATCCCCAGTTACGTCATTTATCTTAATCATTTCCAGACTAATGGTTCTTTTATAAATCTTTTGCTTGGAAAAATTCAGTAACTTGTTTGAGACCTGTGATTTGGGATCATTTTATAGATTCAAGGACGCACTCATGAAATGCTCAAATAAAAAGAACATATATATATTTTGATTTGATGTGAATTTCTAAGCCAGCTAGCAATGGTTCAATTGGCTGAATAAACTGAAGCCATCTTAGATGAACCAGAATAAAACTGAGATAATTAAATAAAAAATGAATATTCAATAAAAAGAGACATCAAACATGATGTCGTATTTGTGGGCTAACTTTTCTAATGTCTCCTTTTATTTGTGTTAAATACATCTTTTTTCTAAAATCCAGTATGCTGTTTTAGGTTGGTATAATATGTGTGAATTATTAAATTAGACAGATCTAAATAATTATCAAGTTTAACTGGAAAAACAGAGATATGCCCCATCTCTAAACTATTACTGAATACATGGGAAGAACCATTATAAACATCTATTCTCCATTATTGTGCCCATAAAGGTGCAATAAGGCCTTTTTATGAGGAGGATTTGTAATTTTCTTTTATTCTAAATGCTTGTAAACATACAATTTACGCCTTCAATCTCAGTGAGTCTGTTAGGAGATTTTATTTTAAGTTTGTCCAGAGTTGAGCTGAGGAGCCTCACGTTGTTTTTTTAAATGATTTTATTCATTATAATTCCAGAAAATAAAATCAAAGGTTGACTTTGTTGACAGCTGATAGTTAAGGAATCGTGGATTATTAGCTAATGCAATTATCAGAATCAGAAATACTTTAATAATCCCAGAGGGAAATGATTTATATTTTATCTTATTTATAGCAGGTGTTTAGTTCATTTACTGGCAAAAAAAAGTTCCAAGTTTGGTAAAATGAGCATGATATAAAATGTTATATGTTTAATGTGTTTTATTGTGTATTTGACTTATCATTTAGTCCCAAAAGGCTCCAGATCTTTATAATCCCCTCCAGTCTTCCTTTAATAAGAAAACCCTTCTGTTTCTTACCTCTTTGGGCCTTTTTTCCTCCAGGACAAACGAGCACAGACTCAGTCCTCAGGTCTGACACGGCCCCTCACCTTTATTTCATCGATTTAAGTTACACGGTGGAATCAGAAACAAACAGAAAAGAGGGAACCCGGTTAGATAGAAACGGGGGGGGGG